GGTGTTTTGGGACGATAACAAAAACTTGGGAAATAGGAGGTGTCAATATCAATCCAGGTGAATAACGGAAGACAATCACCAATAAAAGATCCGGCTAAAGATTTAGCAGCGCAAGAGAAAAAAAACGAAAACGTGGATGATTCTTCTTTCTAAGAATCGGCATAACACTAAATTGAAACATGTGTCCACAGAGGTAGTTGTGAATTGTTACGCCATATTGGCGAGGAATGAATGCTACAGCAACTAATTGCGAAGTCCCGCGAGAAACGCCAAGCAGCTCAAAACTTGCAGCGTGCACCTCAAGCAGAAAGCACGTATGAATTGAGCTTACATAGGAGTAGCGTGGACTAACAACTCCCACAGCTTGACACTTAAAGCGCGCTGTTAATACAAAAAGACGCCCGAAACGAACGCACGAGTATACATAGCACAAGCGTGAACAAATGTCAACAAATTTTATTTTTTCGTGTGCGAGGAGCGTCTTCCTTTTGTAAACGCGGCCGCGGCAGCGAGCGAAGTGACCTTCGTGCTCTCCCGAATCACGAGTCTTATAAGCGTGCGCGCAAGAGCGATCATGCTCCGCGGATGACATCGCTCGTCGAAAAGCTTGAGGCGACGACTTTTAGAGCAAGCCCAACACTGCCGAATCCTAAAGCCCGATCCCAACGTGAGGCCCTTGCGCCATCTAGCTACGGATGACCGAAACGCGCTAGCATTGGTGAGTTCTTAGGACTGTCAAACGGTTTATGATGCAGGGAAATAGCTTGCCGTCCGCCTTCCTGACAACGCGTGCTTCCTGGCCTAGTGAGTAGCTCCGCGCGCTGCGGAGCGAGAAGTCGTCGTGCGACGGCCCGCGGCAGAACCTTTTCTTCTCAGTTTTTTTTTTCTTAGAAATTTGTTAGTATCTATTTTACAACGTCATGCATGTGATATACGCCAGTGGAGCTTTGGTGTACCCCGGCACAAGACAATTTTGTGTTAAAGAGAAATAAGGTTGATGCCTCCGTTATATGAGCCGTTATCACACAAAACTAAATCGCGTCCTTACAGATATATTTGAATGCTTACTGCAGTATGATGTAACAGAGCCTGCACAATGTAGATTTCAATTTTAAGCTCTGTCTCTCTGACCTTCGCTCGTGCCTGCCATGCCATGTAAAGGCGTGTCAGCTCCCCTAGTTTGCCAAGTATTGTAAATATGTAAAAAAAACCACCTGTCCTTTGTGTGAGCCCGAAGCCTCGCTAGAGTTCCTCTTTCCCCGGCGCCTGTGTGACTGTCTGCAGCCCACTCCTCGGTCGCATCACCTGTTGATGTATGGTGGTACAGCTCCATTTTGACAGCTGACGACTGTGATCGATGGCTAACAAATTCTTGTGGTAGCTGTGGTAGTAAACGGAGACAGCGTTATTAGGAAGCGGTGTGACCACCCGAAGAGAGCCGCTGACCGGCACAGAAATTGGGATAAGATCGACCTCCTACGGCGATGAGTTGAACAGCAAAGCGAGCGCCTTGCCTACCCTCTAGCACAGCCACAATATTTTCAAGACGAGTGTATGTGTGAAGTACGGTGTTATTGCCAGTATAGGGAGGCGTACTTCGCACAGCTAGTTTTGGTGGGTATAAATGCGATATGAACGAGGCCAACGCTGCGGATAAGGTCGCGACCTCGTGCTGTGTCATGGCTATGGCAAAATCGCACTATCCTTTTGTAAACGTGCAGAGCTGTACAGACGCATGTAGCAACGACACGTTGAAGGAGCTAATCGTGGAGGCTACGTTCATGACTCATGATTCACTACTTCACTGCCGAGAAAGACCATATCTCACTGTTCGAGGAACGTGTGAGATATGGAAGGCGCGTTTGTACCTTTCATACTCCGAAAGGTTTACCACTTGAAGATTTAAAAGTGCTTTAATGAAGTGAGGTCATCTAAAATAAAGATCGATATTTGTGGTTCTTCCTGAATGCAAAACGCTTCTTTTATATATTGTGCATATATATCGGAACGAGCCGCTGTTTCAGCATTTTGTACCACCGTTCTGGTTTTACATATACTGTACATGTGCATGGATACCAACATAATCATGCCTTAAGGGAACTGTACCGTATCCGTAGGGAGGAAGCCAATACCGTAGGGAGTGATCGGTAATTTTTTCTTTGATGTTTTTGAAGTATTTCTTTCTTTGAAGTCTTTCAAGGATGTGCCATAAGAACAGTGGGCCTCAAAAGATGCTAATGTGTGCTCTATCGTTCCTGGTTTGTTGCATACTCCTGGCTACGAGGAGTCCTTTTAGTTTTAGCCAAACCTTGACATGAAGGCAGTTGCTATAAGGAACTTTGTTAATGGCCTTACTGGCATCATTTTTACTCTGTGTAGAACATTCTCTTTGAATCCGATCACATAGACTGCTCGATAGTATGATACAGGTAACAAAACCTCTTTAAAATCTTAATATATATGTTTAGGACATGAAATTGTAAGCTATAGATTTTAAAAAAGAAAACAGACTGTGGCGCAGTGGATAGCTTGCCCGGATGCTGTTCTCGCGGAATGAGAAGTCGTGTGCATTTTCGGCGTCATTTCCTTGACAAAATTGTGTCACTATCGCCTTCGTGGCCTTCGGCTTAGGACACTTTCATGTAAAAAAAAAAAGATATGAGCGAAGGTTTCCTCCTATGGTTTAAGGGAGAGTTCACGCTAGACAAATCGAAACTTGATATTTGGCTACCATGCGAGTGCTGCAGAGCCTGAAATTTCCTAATGAGACGAAAGTAGACAAAGGCGCCTATTTTAGTGCGCAAATAGCGTTCCAATTCAGCTTAGACTTTCGTTCTTCTGACAAGCAGTTCTCCTCTTTGTGAAGACAACCTACATCAGTTCAGGATATGCTTACAGGACGGTTTTATGCTCTCCCATAGTGGAGTGCCTAGTACTCTAAATCGTTGACCACTTTTTCTATACACACTTTCCAGCCAGATGTTTCAAAGACCGCGTGGTAAAAGCTCAGCACTTTAACAACTTTACTATAGGGAAGGAGTTTAGAGAACCCTTAAGCTTCTCCTTTAAAAGTTGGACGTGATAGTCATATTCTATTCTTAGTGCGTACTTTAGGCACTAAGTCTACAAAATATTTTCATACCTGCTGTGCACCCACTACGTGGCCTTAAGAGTGCAATGGTCTGTGTGGCTTTTGTAGTGGGGGACCGGCTTTAAACTATCGAGTTGCGCACGGAGACGTGATGGCGGGTGACAAGGCTGTGCCGTCGTCTGAGATTTTATTTGGACGTAGAAGCGGTCGCAGATTTGACGTCCAGCCAGGTCATGAGCTATATATAATCAGTTGCAACCTAAAAATAAATACAAGCCCTGCCCCCAAAACTGCAGCTTACGTGCCTTTCATGGTGCGAAAGAGTCACCATATGTGGTTTTCATTGTATAGTACTTTTTCGCTGCTAGCAGAAATACTGTGCGCAATAACTGAAACTTCGTTGTATCTCCTTCAAGCATTACGCTTGACAGAGTGACGTCGAAATCTTCGCGAAAATTGCGCAGGAAATCGAGTTTTTTTTTAAAACAAACCCAGCTGCACCAATATATGTTTGTATAAAAAACGTGATCTAAAGTACGCTAAAGCTACTTCGCATCACAAAAATGAGCAAATGTTTTTTTATGAGACATGTATGCGAATTATCTCAGGAAGGGGGAGTCACGGTTGAAGGTGGAGCTTGTGCTTATTCGTAAGGTGTAAACGACTATAGGCTCTTCCAAACACCTCGTAGTTCGCGGAACATGAGCCACGCGGCTCTTTTATTTATTTATTTTGCGTAGCAGCGTAGCAACTAGTTAAATCTGGCACGACGCTGCAAGGTCATTATTATAATCTATTTTTCTCACGCCCGATGGCAATGTACGCTTGCACCACGCGTTAGTATGGCAATATGCCATGGTGTATTGTGAAGCATGTATAGGGGACGTGCGTGCTTCTAAAGCATGAAAATTACATTCACTGCACATCCAAACAGAGAAATTTGCTGTCAGTATAATCCCAAGCAGAGGCGTGGCTGTGTGGTAGAACACTCGCTTGCCCCGCAAACAACGTGGGTTTTATCCCCCCTCACACAAAGAACGTTTTAATATTTATTTTATTTGCATCATTCTGGATTTCGGTCACGCAAAGATGATATCTCGCTTCCAACCAACGACGCCGACGCCGACGCCGAAATCTCTGCTGAAACGAGCCCTTTAACGGTATCGCGTTAAAGGTATTAGCGAAAGATGCGCACCCGTAAAATCAACGGGCCTACTACAAAGGCAGTCGATCTATTATAGCTAGTATAACGTTTCAAGTCCATGTTCATGTTCACCAGTCAGTAAATTTTTTTGTCTTCTTCTAGTGACTCGCATCTACCACATATGCCATCTAGGTACATTTTTAGAAAAAAAAAGCGCTATCACTCTTTCCGATGAGTCCAGACTTGTCACGTACAGGGCCCTGTTTAAAGATCCACGTGAGCTCCTTTCGGAAGTCGTTACATTGTTTTTGGAGAGTAATTGAAGGTGGCATTTTTGAAAGAGTATTGACGCGTATTTTTAAAATGTCTCAATCTACGTGGCAAGTGAGGATTCGCCAGAAAGAGTAACAGATGTACTCTTTTTTTTAAGGACATAAATTCCCTACAATTACTAAAGTTTAGTTGTGTTACCCTACTTTTATTGCTGCAGCAGTTATACGTACACAGTACGGGGTTTTCACCGCCACTGTCACCGTCATGTGTTCGGTATAAAGAACAAATTCAGACCATGCCCCCACGGTTTGCATGTTACACCTGCGCATAAAAGCTAGTGAGCGAAGGCGACGTACACGGCTGAAGAATGTATGAAAGAAGCCGGCTTATCTCTGTCGCATGGACAGCGCATGCGATAAGATTAACCCGCTTGTGAGGCCTGCCTTCGATTGCTGCTCAAGCCGAGAGCAATAACCCCCCTCTTCTTGAAAGATTAGGGGGGGGGGTCTTTGTAGGCAACAGCAAATGGCTCGTATATCTGTCTTACTGTGTTGTCAGCATGAAGGGACTATGCTAAAAGGGCTTCTATCCGTGAAGCGGCCGCATTCTCTTGCACCAGCGTTTTCTGCACTTAGGTCAGACCGGATCCAAAAATGTTAGCTACCAGCCTTACATCGTATATCATTGCAACATGTTGCTATCGCATTCACCTCCTCACACTTGTGACAAAACTGTATACTTTTTTTCTTTTATTGTTTTTGTTGCGCTCAAGAATTCAAATATGTGGTTTTGGGCTGCATGTAGTACCCGGTTTTATAATCTTGTTTGTCCCAATTCTTTTTCGTCATCACGACCTGCGCGAATCGCCTTGTTCGCTTATGCAGACAAGGAGCTCGTGTGTGATCTGCTGGAGAAACTCCCGGCGCCAAATGATCTTCGTGACTTGACGCTTAAGGCCCTCGAGTTCGACGTGGACGACGAGCCCAACTTCCACGTGGATTTCATCGTGGCGGCATCGAACCTGCGCGCCGCGAACTACAACATCCAGCCGTCCGACAGGCTCAAGGGCAAACTGGTCGCGGGCAAGATCGTCCCTGCCATCGCCACGACCACATCGCTCGTGGCGGGCCTGGCCTGTCTGGAATTATACAAGGTGAAGAGTACAATGTGATCGCTGCGCTGATGGAACGTGTCGTCCTTTATACACACAGAATCGAATGTTCCGGCGTCATTGATCGTGGCCGCATTAGGCCGGTGATGTTGCCAGACCCTCCGGCGTGGCCGGCGCTGGACGAAGTGATGACTCGTTTAACAGCCCGGTATCATAAAAAACACACAAAAAACAGAAAGAAGCGTGCTCGACAATAGTAGGTTTAGTCATCACGACTAATTGAAATGTAATATTATCAGTAATCTTGCAGTCTGTTACGACGTTTTGCGAATGAACAAGACTTACCCGACGACTGATTTGAGTGCTCGCCAATAGCCTTGTACTGCGAGTATCTTGCACCGTTTATGGGCACAAGTATAACCATTAAAAAGTTTTCATTTTTACCTGCTTGTGTTTTGCGTACTTCACCGTCATAACAACGCAACACTACTACGGAAAGTGGTTGACAAACGGGTGAAAAGTGCTTATGCAGAGCTCTGTGAATCGGTCACTGCTAATTTCACATGCATCATTGTGCCCTGTCGCTTTAATGTTGGCTATTCACTGTGACAGCAATGTAACCATTCATGTGCGCTGCAGTGCCCCGGTGTCATAATGCTTCGTATCCTACAACATACATCTATGGGAAAATTTCGCCTATCGTCATTTTTCAATTTCATATTGTAGATTTGTCCTTTCTTATTGAAACCTTGGTTGCCGTATCTGAAGAGTAATTGGTGTCCCCTTTCTGTATGCAGCTAGTTCAAGAACACAAAAGGCTGGAGCTTTACAAGAACAGCTTCGTGAACTTGGCGCTGCCTTTTGTTGGTTTCTCAGAACCTATTCCAGCCTGCTTGGAAAAAGGTTTAGTTCCTGTTTTTTTTTCGTTTTGTTTGGCAGTGTATTTTAGCGCATATTCCCGTGTATCTACAGTGTAGGAGTGGTGAAGGATAAATAACAGCAGCAAATGACGACCCTCCTGGACAGAACAGGAAACAGCGTGCCCAGACGGGACAAAAATTTACTAGAAACAGACATACACAGAACATACACAGCGCTGTGTGTATACTTCTTCAAATTCGTTGTCACGTCTAGGGGAGCTAGTTGTTCATATTCAGTATGTAGTAGTAGTAGTAAGTAGTAGTAGTAGCAGTAGTAGTAGTAGTAGTAGTAGTAGTAGTAAACTTTAATTTTAAAAAACAGAGAGGTTGCCAGGGAAACCAGCCTCTATAGTGGGTCAGCCTCTCTACAGTAATAGGTGGAGTCCGTACTCAGGGACCCCATTGGTCGTGGCCGCTGTCCTGCTGCGCTGGATCATGACTCGTTGGGCTGGAAGGTCCTGGAAACCGAGCAGGGCCGCCTCGCAGTAGCTTTTCCGCCAACGATTTGTGTTACAAATAATGTCCCCTCTACTATACTCATCTTTCGCGAGCACTGCTTAACACCAGTTAACCTCGTTTTCTGTTCGGCATTTCTGGCTATATTTGTCTGAAGTATTTCTATGATCGATTATGGCTTGTTCAATGAAGCAAGAAGAATTACTCTCAAGCCAAGTTTGGTTTTAGATTTGATAGTAATTGACTCATGATTTCACGGGCGATTCGGCCTCTACTTCACGGAATGATTGTGAGGCAACACACAGAAATCTTTGTTTAAGTCGTTGTGTTGTCACCATCACTCGAGCCGAGCTCTCTGTGGCAGTTAATATAGTGGCATCGTCCGCATAAGCTGTACACCGTATACCGCAGCAATACAAAAACAATCTATCACCGCGTATTTATTCGGGAGTTTCATAGTAGCTTGCGCTTAGCTAGGGGGCTTTGCAGGCGTACCATTCGCATAAGGGCGTTATACGTGTTTAAGAATAGAATTTGTCCCCGCGAACGCTGACGCACGCTGAAGTCACCGCAAAAGGGCTTTGCGTGCCGTTCGCTATTTCAGATTTCGTGCTGGTGGGTCGCAAACTTTTAAGGTGGTTAGCGTTATGACGCATGTACAGTGACAACGGCCGCAACGAATAGCTTACGCAAATCTTCGTGCGTGCATTTCTAAAACTCCATAACGATGTTTCTGTGCAATTTATCGGCAATATTTATCCACAATATAATCAATACGACCTAACGGCATACCTGGCGCATCCCGTACGGCTAGAAAATCAATGCAATGTTATATCTTTCAGACATTCAGTCTTCACTTATGCCGAGTATTTTTTTACTCTTTTCTTATCACATTATGTTTTATTTCTGAACAGTTTCGGAGCCAAGAGTTCTCGTTCTGGAACTGCGTCGAAATCAACGGAGAGTTGACTCTTGCAGAGCTTCTGGAGTATTTCCGGGTAAGGGATGCCTTTTCTATTAAATACCCGTGTGGGCGCATTGTGTGCCTATACGTGTCACAATAGATTACTTTACTCAGTATAGATAAGGAACAAATTCGTAGCTCACTCAGGCTCATTCAAGAAATACATTTTGTACTTCAGGCGCACTGTGGACCCAAGGTAACCACAATTTTATTTCACTGAACTCCCATAGACTCACTGAAAATTTAGCGAACTTCACACTTGCTCATGCTCACCAAAACCCGGACTCACTCAAACTCAAACTCGAGGCTCTCTTTGAGTCTGGGTTTGAATGACTTGGCTCATGGGGAATTTTCGAATTTATGGTAGCAAGTACTATAGACACACACGCGGAAGACGACAACAGCAACACACAAAGGCTTGACATTGAGTCGTTTCAGTTGGATTTATGATTGCCACGCAATTCAGACACGCGAGTGTGTGTTAAAAATTTTATCAGCTTCTTCAGAGCATTCAATGGCCCTGCGTGCGTACTTCGGTAGGTTGTTTGGCGGCTAAGAGTGATTCTGGCTATGAGGGACGCTGCAGTGGATGGCCGCGGAATATTTGGACCTCCTGGGGTTCTTTAACAAGCGCCGACATCACACAGCGCTTGCGCCTCTTGACTTTCACCCCCATCGACATCCCACAGTCCCGGCAGGAATGGTACTCGCGTCTATACGCTCAGCGGCCCAGCGTAATAACCTACAGTTCACAGTGGCGTCACAAGTCACAGTTTCATCACTTGCGCGAAGCGGTGAATGCGATAGCAAGAAATTGGCGTATCAAACGAATAACGACAAACGGCTCGATACTTTTCGGCTTACCGCTACAGCCCAAAGAAGGAGGTTAGAAAGCGCATAGCTTTGCAATGGACAAGTGTGCACAATCCCCCTGATTTTTACGTGTTTGCATTTGAAGAACGCACTGAAAATGTCCGTAATGCAAAATTATATCCTGTTTAGTTTTTCTTTTTCTTTTATTTTTTGAACTGTTGCACGTGCAACGAACCCTCTGCGTCTCATGCCACGCGATGGCGTCTGACGCCCAGTGGGCCCCGTGTTCTTTCTTTTAGATGCGAAGCAGCTTAGAGTCGAGCTCACTCTGGTGTGCGGCGTGACCACCAATACTGCGCATATGTGTCCGCTCACCTCTCTCTACTCTCCCATGCTCTCCCCCGTCTCACCTCGCAGCATGGACGAAGGCATAGAGTTTCTCGCCAAATTACCTTGAAAGAAATCTGGCGCAGTGTGCTGGTCGATGCAAGGGAATGCTGGGACATGTGAAGATCGAACCTGACTCGAAATGGTATACCTTGGAGACGCGTCTGGCTTCATGTTAAAATGGCTTATTTTTACTAAAAGAGCACGTAATAAGCTATTTTTGTCATTGCACAGAAACGTGATTAATTTAACACTGGAACTTCGTGCTTCGATGTACAACTTTACGAAGCGTAAGAAGTAACCAACGGATGCTAAACTTGGCAGGCAGACGACAAAGCGAGCGTTCCACTTGCTCCTTTACGTCGTCTGTTTCATTCTTTCGCTGTTTGGTTGTGCCGTCAGTGTGAGTGGACGTTTATATGATACGCGTGGGTGAGGTCCGCTTATAAACATTTTCTTTTAGAGAAACTTTATTTACGTAGTCGTATTCTCTTTTGAGCCAAAGCCTCACTCAACACCAGCCAACACAAGCCTCACAGACACACATACCATCATTTCCGGTGCTCCAACGGGGCCAATTAAGAAATTTGTACATGGTGGCGCCACATTCCACTCTAGGTATCTTCGTGAGAAACTCTATGAACGCAGGGAGCGCTAACCGACTCAGTCCCCCCTCTTTCTCCTCTAGACGTTCCTCGCCGTGGCATTTACACCCTCATTGCGCATACGCGTCCTATTCCCCTCTATCGCCTAGCAATGCCAAAGCCGGCAGTCTCAGCAAGCGAGATTCAAGATTGAAAAAAAAAAACATCACTGCATATCCACGAGGTGAATGAGCGGGGCAGAGTGGACGGACGGATGGGCGGACGCACGGAAGCATGGACGGATTGACTGCAGCGCTTCGTACCACTCATCGTTCACTCCGTGGATATGCTGTGACACGCGTTTTTATTGACATGCAATGCAATGCAACTGGCTACTGCGACGATGACGACGACACAGGACATACGACCCACGGCGTAAGGAGCTTCACCGCTAAAAAAACCGACTGTTCTCACTGCACAATTGTTCACTGGCCAGCCCTTGTACATAGGCATCTTGACCTTTAAGGTAGTCACAGCGAGAGATTTCTCCTGTGCGTTGTTGAAAAATAAGCATTCGAAGCGTGCGCGTTAACTAAAAAAGGACTGCGGGTCTCTGTGTCCAATCACAACCTTCTGTCTCTCATTGCCTATTAGCAGCATGTTCCAGTAGGAAACAACGGTCCGTTACAGCATGCTTTGCGCCTCCCGAGGTTTCTCTCTCGCTCAATGCCGCGATGAGCGCCGGCGTCAACGCCGCCGCCAGTGTAAGCTTTAGCGCCCTCTGCTACGCATCTACACATGGTTCTTTTAATGAGAGATAGTGTAACTTTTGTTTGTCTTCTACATCATGAGTAGAAACAGAAGAAGACCACTTTTTCTTGGGCGCCTAAAAGACAGTTTTCGTTTTGAAAGAAAATGTTATAGCGTTGGCGATAGAAAACTCACTCAAGCTGTTCCGAGATCTGCGTACCGCGAGCGGTAAATGATGCATATGAATAGCTCGCCGTTATATCGGTGGCATAAGTACGGCGAGTGGTCGTGCTGGCTAGTTCAGAAGGCTGCGGAGCGAGGGGTCACTGGTTCGAACCCCAGTATGTTTACTTATATTTTTTCAACTTATTTATTTTCTTTTATGCCTTTCTCACAATAGGTACATATACATATCCGCGACATGGCGGTGACGGCTAAAATCAGCCGAGAGTGTCCATATAATTGCTATCGTAATAAAAAAACTAAAATGACTACAACGTATATTCTACTCGCAGTGCGCTGAAGCGAAGTAGGCGTATAATATATATTCTATGCCCACTTCACTTGCGAGCAAATGCTCTTGTTGGAAGAGCCGGGTGTGAGATGAAACACCAGTGGGTCACCACTCGGAAGCAGTCGTTTCTCTTGGGACTCTCATGTGACATGTCCAGAGTATGTGGAGTATCTGCTTGGCCTCTAAAACGCATACTAATCCGGACACATATTCTGCACAAGTCCTACAAAAATAAATGTGCCCGCAGCATTCATAAGTTGTTCTGGCTTATAGGACTTTGATAATAATAATAATAATAATAATAATAATAATAATAATAATAATAATAATAATAATAATAATGATGATGGGGCGTTTTAGAGTGGCACTCTTTTATAAAACAGAAGAGCGGTCACGACAAGTCAAGTGGTAATGGCGGAAGCAGTCTGAGTCCCCAGAGAACCAAACGTCGTCTTCTTCACGGACTGAGTCATACCCCTGCCTTTCTGAGTAGCACTCATCTTCTTCACTACATTTCCTCCCCTCCGGAAAAGAGCCATCCTGGCGACTCATGGGCAGGAGACAATAGAGGGATCATAATACGGTTTTAGGTGGTCTATGTGGACGGTCTCACGTCCACGGCGTCGTTAATCATGGGGCTCCTCTAGCGGCTCGACGATGTAATTGACGGGTGAAGTTTGCTTAACCACACGGTAAGGGCCGTCATACTTGTACGTCAGTTTCGTTGAGAGACCAGGGTTGGTTGAAGAGATGCGAAGCCAGACAAGGTCATCTGATGCATAAGAAGCCGGAGGCGTCAGGCTATCGCGATGGTGTTTCTGGCGTTGCTGTTCAGCACTTGTGAAGGAGCGGGCAAGCTGACGACACTCTTCCGCGTATTTAGCAGCTTGTGACATCGTCGTCGACTCAGCAACATCCGTGTGGTAAGGAAGGATGGTGTCTAGCGTGCAAGAGGGATCGCGACCATAAAGGAGGAAGTATTGAGAGAAACCAGTGGTTGTCTGGACAGCAGTATTATGCGCGTATGTTACAAAAGGGAGAATACTGTCCCAGTTGGTGTGATCGGTTGCGACGTACATTGACAGCATATCGCCTAATGTACGGTTGAATCGTTCTGTAATGCCATTTGTTTGAGGATGATACGCGGTGGTGTTGCGATGAATGACTTGGCATTCCTTGAGAAGCGATTTGACGGCGTCCGACAAAAACACACGCCCTCGGTCACTCAGGAGTTCGCGTGGTGCACCGTGACGTAAAATGATCTGATGCAATATGAAACGACGGACGTCACTGGCTGACGCAGAAGAGAGTGGCGAAGTTTCTGCGTAGCGCGTAAGGTGATCGATCGTGGCGATTACCCAGCGATTTCCAGCCGGTGTAATCGGAAGAGGTCCATACAGATCGATACCAACACGGTCAAACGGTCGGGCAGGACAAGGTAAGGGTTGTAATGGAGCTGGAGAACTTGGAGTGGGATTCTTCCGGCGTTGGCAAGCGAGACAGGAACGTACGTAGCGACGAACGAAGCGATACAATCCACGCCAGTAGTAGCGGTGGGACAGGAGGGTGTAGGTTTTCACGCCGACCCACAATGCGCTCCAGCATGAGCGCATTGTGGGTCGGCGTGAAAGGAGGCGCATATGTCTGAGCGGAGACGACTGGGAATGACTAGGAGCGATTGCCGTCCTTCGGAGAGATAATTCCGTCTGTATAGCAAACCATCTCTGATAATGAAGTGCTGTATTTGACGGCGCATACCTCTAGAGATATTTTGCGAGGGAGCTCGACTCAACAAGTTGATAAGTGAAGCGATCCAAGGATCTTTTCGTTGCTCCTGTAGCATGTCGCTGACACTAAGTGCAGATACGTCGGGGGCAGGCGAAGACGGCGACTTGTCACTACATCGTAGAGGTGATCGGGACAAAGCGTCTGCATCGGAATGTTTTCGGCCAGATTGGTAAACGACGTGAATGTCGTACTCTTGTAGCCGAAGCGCCCAACGGGCGAGCCGGCTGGTGGGATCTTTTTCGAGGAGAACCAACATAATGCGTGATGATCTGTAAGCACGCTGAATGGGCGCCCGTAAAGATAGGGTCGAAACTTGCCTATGGCCCATATGATGGCTAGACACTCTTTTTCGGTGACTGAGTAGTTGGCTTCTGCTTTTGTGAGTGCACGGCTGGCGTAAGAGACGCCGTACTCATCAAATTCAGGTTTACGCTGGGCGAGTCCGCACCGAGGCCAACTCCGCTAGCATCCGTGTGTATTTCCGTCGGGGCAAGAGGATCAAAATGTCGCAGTATTGGAGGTGACGTAAGAAGTTGGCGGAGTGTGGCAAATGCATCATCACAAGCTGACGACCAACTAGAAAGGTTGTTGTTGCCGGCGAGAAGATCAGTCAAGGGCGATATGATGGAGGCGAAGTTGCGAATAAAACGACGAAAATATGAACATAAACCGAGGAAGCTGCGAAGTTCTTTTAAGGTCTTCGGCTTCGGAAATTCGGCAACGGCAAGTAGTTTCGTCGGATCCGGAAGAATGCCATCTCTAGATACAACATGGCCCAAAATTAGGAGTTTTCGAGCGCCGAAGCAGCACTTCTTCAAGTTGAGCTGTAGACCGGCGGAGGTGAGGCAAGTAAGCACTGTCTCGAGCCGCTGAAGATGCCTTGAAAAGTCGCTTGAAAATATCGCGACATCGTCTAAATAACACAGACATGTCTGCCATTTCAGGCCACGGAGTATGTTGTCGATCATGCACTCGAAAGTGGCAGGCGCATTGCAGAGCCTGAATGGCATGACGTTAAACTCGTATAAGGCATCAGGGGTTACTAAGCCGTCTTGGGGCGATCAGCCTCAGCCATGGGAACCTGCCAATAACCTGAACGTAGATCTAGTGGCGAGAACAATTCCGCGCCTTGTAAGCAGTCAAGGGCATCGTCTATGCGGGGTAGCGGGTAAACATCTTTGCGCGTGATCTTATTCAACCGGTGGTAGTCGACGCAGAATCTTATTGAGCCATCCTTTTTCTTGACTAGAACAACTGGGGATGCCCACGGGCTGTTAGAGGGCTCAATAACACCTCGCTTCAACATGTCGTCAACTTGTTCCGCGATTATGCGACGCTCAGATGCTGATACCCGATACGGACGCTGACGTAAAGGAGCGTGAAGGCCAGTGTCGATTTCGTGAGATACTGTGGAAGCACGGCCCAAAGTCAGTTGCTGGTGGTCGAAGCTGGCGTGGAAGCGCTCGAGTAGGGCGATGATGTCGGTGCACTGGTGGGCCGTAAGGATGGTGTCGTTGCAGCGCGAAATTGCGTCAGTGAATGATAGGGAAGAATATGACGCGCAGCAATCAACAGCGTCAATAGGTAGCGTAGTCGAGTGGTCAGGAACTACACGTGCACTCGAGGGATCAATGTCATCGGCAAAGCCCAAGCACTCTCCGCACAGTAACTTGGAAGGCGAGGGAAACGGATTTGAAACATAAATTGCACTTGATGCATCGTTAACATTCAGAACGGCGAAAGGAATCAGGAAGCACTTGCGGCGAACAGCACTTTCAGAAGGGGTAAAAAGAACAGTTGAGCCACTAGAGACGTCACAGGAAAGCGGAACTAGGGCGGATTGGAACGGGGGTATCAAAGTCGGCGGCAACGAAAACTTTCGCAGGTGAAAGGGACGAGTCGAGTGAAGCAGCGTCGCATAACGGCGCGAACTCCACTTCGGCGCGAGCACAGTCGATGGCGGCATGATGAGTGCAGAGAAAGTCCCAGCCTAATATAATGTCATGAGAACACTGCGGGAGCACTACAAACTCGACGACATAAATATTGTCAGCAATAGCGACACGTGCTGTGCATGCAGCAAAAGGGCGAATTCGCTGCTCGCTCGCAGTGCTCAAAACGAAGTCGTGAAGAGGCATTGTGACTTTTTTTAGTCAACGGCAAAGTTTTTCAGTCATTACAGACACTGCGGCGCCAGTATCGACCAATGAAAAAACAGGTATACCTTCAATGGAGACAGCAAGGACGTTGGACGGCGAAAAACAAGGTCTTGTGGAGTTCGAAAGATCCGCAGTTCTTGCCCCCAAAACTGCGGCTCCTAGTTTTCCTCAGGGACAGGGCGAGGTCGACGTAGCGTAGGGGAAAGGGAACGGCGGTGAGGTGAAGGCGACCGGTGTCTGTTGATGTTCTGGCGAGGTGAAAATGTGTCCATGGTTGCAGTCTCGCCAGATACAGCAGGCTCTGGTCGTTGTGGGAAATCATAATTGTTGGGCCTGACGTCGTCACGCAGGAAAATTTCACGCTGTCGACAAAATCGTGCCACGTGACCCGCAATTCCACAGGCGAAGCATATGGGGCGGTTGTCTTGAGTGCGCCAAGGGTTCTGAAAGCGCGGAGGTGGTGGTCGGGAGAAAGGACAGGCCACCTGGTACATAGGCTCAGTCGGTACGACGAAGGGGCGCGTGGACGTAGGCGTTCGCGACGAAGAAACGTGGCCGTTCGCGACAAGTGGACGTCGGGTTCAGTTCAGTGCTTCGGCATAGGTCAATGGAGCAGCCACAGGTGGTGCGTGAGCTGCTGGTAGCGCCTCGGACACTTGCTCCTGGACTACTCGCTGTATTGATGGCGCTAAAGTAGATGGGGCACCTTCGGAGGTATAAGGCACGAGGGACAACTGGCGTGCGACCTCTTCTCGTACAAATTGCTTGATCTCGAGAAGCAGAGTGGTGTGGTCTATAGCAGTGCCAGCCGACGTTAAAGCGGAAATTGTTGCACATGGCGCGCTGGCATGACGAGTGGTGTCACGCTGTTTCCAGAGCTCATCATAGTTCTGACAAAGTTGGATCACTTCGGCTACCGTTTGCGGGCTTTTGGCGACAAGCATCTGAAATGCGTCGTCAGTCACGCCTTTCAAGATGTGCTTGATCTTCTCGGCTTCTGTCATGGCCGAGTTGACACGCCGGCAAAGGTCGACCACATCTTCGATATAACTGGTGTAATTCTCACCATTCTGCTGAGACCTAGTACGCAAGCGCTGTTCGGCCCGTAGTTTGCGAAGCGCTGGACGGCCAAACAAGTCCGCGAACGCCGTTCGGAAGGCCGACCAGGTGGGGAGGTCTCTCTCGTGATTACGGTACCACAGACTGGCGACGTCGGTCAAATAAAATTGGACGACAGTAAGCTTGTGTGCATCGTCCCACTTGTTGTGCTTGCTCACCCGGTCGTATTCGTCGAGCCAGTCTTCCACGTCTTTGTCATCAGTTCCACTGAAGGTAGGCGGATCACGTTGCCGAAAGGAGCCGAGACAGACAGAAGGTGCAGTAGTTGGAGCCGAGGCGGCCGCCTGCTGATCGTCGTCCGTGGACATTGTAGCAACTGAAGGCAACGTATGGTTTCGCGATTCCAGGATTAGGCGTTACCCAGCACCTCCACCAATTATAATGGGGCGTTTTAGAGTGGCACTCTTTTATAAAACAGGAGAGTGGTCACGACACGTCAAGTGGTAATGGCGAAACCAGTCTGAGTCCCCAGCCAACCAAACGTCGTCTTCTTCACCGACTGAGTCATACCCCCTGCCTTTCCGAGTAGCACTCATCTTCTTCACTACAATAATAATAATAATAGTAGTAAAATAATAATATTAATAATTATAACGGTTCATACCTATTCAAGCAAGCAGACACTAAGCATAACTGCCCTATGCCATAATAATCGGCGTGCGAACTTGGAACATACGTTGCAATAAAACACGAAAGAGCACAAGTAAAGGAAACCACGAACCGTCATGTATTGTTACATATAGCGTGGCGTCACGTGCTCACCTCCCCCTCGCATTCAGTGGTCCTGTCGAGCTATGCAATGAGCCGCCTCATTGCGGGGCAGAACCGAATGCGATTGACGATGGCTGCCCACCAATTGTTCCGGTGTTTGGTATACCCGCGCCAAGCCCCAAGGGTGTACTTATTTGGGTATGATCGTAGCTTGCGCGGCATTATAAACGGCCAAGGAATCGTATCTTAACTTTCAGAAAAGAATCCAACTTCAATTTACTCGTTGACTATTCCGCGCATTGCCACGTTTGGTCGGCACAGTTTGTTCTAATCACTACTTGCACGTCGTTCGGACGTCAATATACCCAAACTTTCTACAGTTTCGACCAATCACGTATAGGACCAACTGCGAGTTGAAAATGTAAATAAAGGTCAACCGGGTTGTAGATTACACCGCCCCCAGGCCAGTATAACCTGCAGATGCCCAGGATTTCTGAGCGCGATACGAAAGTCATCACCTTCGCCTTCGTTGTTTTCATTCTTCCTATCCAGCTGCAGCTAAATGTCGACGTTACGAACGTGTTGGAAGGCGACCGAACTTTATACGATGCTTATGCGCCCCCGTCGAGGACTTTCATGAAGCTCACGTAAGTGAAACGCTGTTACTTTCATTAATAGACTATTCAACTGTGGTCGGAGTACGGGGTTTCTGCCTTACATAGTTAACAGAAACTCCAGAGAAAAAGCGGCACCGAGAGTGCGCCGACCTCAAAAACACTGTAATTACCATAGAATTGTCATCGTTGCTTTTCAATTATTTAAGTTCAGTTAAAGACAGTGTCATTTAATGTGAATAATACTGCCAACATAAACCTAATACGTGTATTTGGAGGAATTTCAAATGGGCAGGCAGTGTTTATTGATCATTTGAAATATTTTTACTAAACATTGAAGGCTATTTGGGCATTCACTGTACGTCGGACTCGCGGCACAGAAACTTGCTCTCTGCGGTTCTTTTCGTAAATGACGACACGTAAGTTCGAGATCGCGGCCGAATGCGCGTCTTTTTTCTGAGTTGTGAGTCGCAGTGCGTCGTCGCCTGCACTTGATATGACACGAACTTACAGCGCGTGAACTTGACTTTAATAATTAAAATGAAAACTAATGCCACTGTAAGGACTGGCAAGCATCTCTGGGGATGGAAACTTTCGCCCATGGTAGTGTAACGGTAGCAATGACGGTGGATCGGAGTTTCTATTGCATTGGTCCTATAGGCCTTCCTCTAGAGTCTGTGCTGTTCTAAACAGCTTAAGCGCGTTACACTACCTGAGCTATTCTTGACGATGTAAATATACATTGAAGGTACTTCATGGTTTGACAAGGACGTGCGCCCATTCGTCCATTGACTGCGGAGGCATACCTATCGTTGGAGTGACGCAGACTTAAGACCACTTGAAAATAATTTCTAGTTGCGTATCTGTACAAAATAAGTGTTACTTAGCTGGAGGTGTGAAGTATTGAGCTATGCAGTGAAAGTGCCGTGCGCATGGAGAAAGACATCCAATATAAAATAAAATATCCATATTGAGATTGCAAACCACATCTGTGGAACTTTTCTGAGGTGGCTGAATAGTTAAAAAAAGGAAATTGTCATCTAAAGATTTGCACCAACGAGGTCATGTGAAAATACGTGCTGATTCAGCAAAAAGCTTCTTGTCGCAAAATTTATTCTGCTTGGGGAATCAAACCCAGGAGCAACAGCTTACTGAAGCGTGCTATACCAGTTTGCAATCTTTTTTCTTCATGCATTCGTCTTGAAATGTGGATCCATTCGCCCTCAAGCTTCCAATTACGGCCTGTCAATTAACTCATTAGGTAGGGCGACCACCTCGATCAAGCAGGGTCCCAGCCGGTTTCTATAGGGACCAAGTTTTTGTCGACTAAGAAGTTTTCTTGAAGAAAAATTCATGTGCGTCGGGCTACTGACGGAAGGAAAACAATTTTTATTTCTTATCCATACTGATTACGAAGAGTGAAGAAGAGCGTGAGGGAAAGCCGTATTCTGGGACCCTGGGATGACTCCAGTGACATGTCGGACGCTATGTGTGATGGTGCGGGAGACTTCGGAAACAGGGCGGGGTGGAAGGGGCTGGCATGAAAAAAAAACATTCCTGCGATTTTCACTTACGAAGCCTTGACGACTGTGCAAGTGCACTGAGCAGGTTCTAGCCTTTGCAGTTCGCAGAGATTGCCTGAATCGATTACTTCTCGGTGCTTTGACCATGGCTTTTTGCAGCGTCAGAGAAGCTCTGGAGCGTGTGTCCAGGACCAAAATCGACAGACAAACGCGGACCCTGGAGCTTCGAGTTAAAGGCAACGACATCAACAGTGGAGAGGAAGTGCAGCTGCCCGAAGTGCGATACGTACTGCCCAAGTGACCACGCAGCCACATGCATACCTTTGCGTAATCAAATGTAGGTAAGGCTTGTTTTATTCGCGGAGAGAAGTCAGCGTTTTTTTTTTTTTTTGAAACAGTGCCCCCAGCATACCCGGTGTCACACTGAGGCGGGAGGGCTCCTTAGTCCAGGAAACCTCTGGCTTCTAGTGCCCTCTTGGCCCTGGCGACGAGTTATTGTAGGTCTTCCAGGCCCTCGAGGGCGAGTTTCGCCTCCTATGTTTCGGTTAGGTATTCGTTCGTCCATCCTGCTTCATTATCAGTCGTGTGTTTTTGCAGATTACGTCTGGCAATACACTGACATGCAAGAAGCAAGTGTGCCAGGGTGTCCAGTACGCTGCATAGCGGGCACATAGAGCTATATCTCTTTGAGTAGAGACGGTGCTTTAGGGCCCCATGTGTGTATGTGCTGCTTTGCAGTCGTCTCAGTATCACGCTTTCCTCTTTTGTCAGTTTTGGATGTGGTGGAGGGTATACTAGTCACTCCAGCCTGTAATGCTGGAGTAACGATGAATAGGTGTCTCGAACAACTTTCGTCTATTCGTCCACGGGTTGGATGTCCTGTGGGCAGGGGGCAGCCCGGCTGACGTGCTCGCAGGCAGCGGCGTGGGTCGCTTTATTTCTCTGCAGACCCTCGTGTCCTGGCACCCATAATATACAAGTGTATGGGAGTATAGCGCTTAGCCGCTTCAAAATATTGATGGCACTGGCTGCGATACGGCCTTTAGCCAAATTCCTGGTGGCGGCTTACGAGTCGGTGAAGATCACCGCGGCGTCTGTACACGTGGTGATTGCTAGAGCGATAGTGGATTCTTCTGCTGCATCTGAATTGAGTACGTTGACCAAGGCCGATGCTAATTCTCGGTCTTGAGAATCTACGATGCTGAAAGCGTGCGCGTTTCTATGCGGATACTTGGCAGCGTCAGGGTAGCGGGAGTTCGGGTCTTGCTTGAACTTTCGTTGAATAGCATCAGCTCTAGCCTTGCGTGTACTTTTGTGGAAAGTAGGATGCATGTTGCGTGGAATAGGTGCGATGGACAGCGACCCTAACGTACAGCGGGATGCCCCTTTTCGGGTGTGCATCGGCGTTGAACGTGTCGCTGTAGTTGAGGTACTGGAGCACCGACCTCCCGTGGGCGTCCGCTTGAGCCTCTCCAGCTGGCTGTTTTTATGCGCTTCGGCGAGCTCTTGCCACGTGCTGTGGAGGCCCATCTTTAGGAGACATGTGGTAGAGGCCATTGGGGGAAGCCCGAGGGCTACTTTAGTGGCCTTTATTATCATGATATTAAGTTTTTCTATTTCAGCTGTTTTCAAATTCAGGTACGGCGTGCGGCTGGGAAACAGAGCTTGCATTATACGTAGCATGTCGTGCTCTTTGAGTCTGTTTCGTTGATTCGCGATCCGAGTTGTGATAGTGTCCGTTGGAGTCCCGGTAGGGTGGCAGCTTCCGATTCATTCTTGAAAATGTGAACTCCAAGCACTCGCAGGGTCTCGACTTGTGGAATGAATGTCCCATTCAGTGTTACGCTAGGGTCGGGCTCGTCGTAAAGAGGGGGTCTGCCTCTTGTTCTCGCTTTGAGGACGAGGTGCTCGGATTTCTCGGGGGCACAGCAGAGACCGCTGTTTCGGAGATACCGTTCGATGATATCTACGGCGGTTTGTAGGCAGGTTTCTTGTCTTCCAGTGTTTGAAGCCCTAGTCTAGAGCTTGATGTCATCAGCGTAGATCGCGTACTGTAAATATGGTACTTTGTCGAGAATTTTCGGCAGATTGATCATGGCCACATTGAGAAGTAACGGCGAAATGACCGAACCTTGCGGCGTGCCTTTTTTCGGCAGTTGAAGGCTTTTGCTGCGGATGTTGCAGAAATACGGAAATTACAACGTATACGAGTAGGGATAAATTTAAGTTAAACACGATGCGCCGAGCCACAAAAAAAGTATGTTGGCTGTTTTAAATTCCAAAACCACGATGTCATTATGAAAAACGTCGTAGTGGAGGCCTTGGAATTTTCGACCACGTGGGGTACTTCAACCTGCGCCTACATCTAAGTACGCGGGCCTCTGGTATTCGCCTCTATCAAAGCGTGGTCGCCACGGCCGGGATTCGACCTCATGCCCATCGGATCCACTGTCGAGCATTATGACCACGAGACCACCGAGAGGGGTGGCCACGGAAAGAAAAAAGTATTGCTGTACTCTTAACAGTCAAGCAAAACAGAATGCGTCGGGAAAGAAACGCGTGCCGAAGACATCTTAGTCGGACTGAAGAACTGGACAGTGCACTGAAGGCATTTAGCGAGAACGCGAAATGACTACTACTCATAACAAACTATTCCAAGAGATATCAAGCGCGTCAATGGGACGTAAAACGTTAGGTGCGCACAAGAGACTAAAGAACCTCAGCAGTTCATATGGTGGCAGTGAGCACAGGAGCGTTCTGACCGGCCTTTGCAGGCACCGGAGATCCGGGATGGAGATGTCGAGGCAGCAGGAAGGTGAACTTAACGAAGTATTTATTTACATAATTGACCTGGTGAGCGCTCTGGCCCAAAACTCCACATCTAAAAACTCTTTTTAAAAGCAACTCGCGAGGTTTGATTATAAGCAGCCTCGTTTGCCGAGATACCTGGATTAGGGAACGGGTCCAGGCTGCACTGTCCAATGACAGGTCCCACAGCACTTCCGAATGTCATTATGCCGGAACCTCCCCCAACAACGAACCACGCACAACCCAAACACAAGTATTGTTCCGGTGACGCTGTCTCATCCGGGGAATTATGCCTCCAACAAGCGGCGTGGGATAAGTTTGTCATCACGCCATTCTGTCCTACCACCCATGTTGTCGAACGGCGGTCGCCGGCCAGGCGCCTCCGATGGCATGTACCTGGACATCTGGCCCTGATTTCAGCGTCGATGGTCTAACAGCTGGAGACGCACAGCATGGTGGTCCGACGTCTGTCTTCGGCGGACACTCGGCGTTGATGCCTTTCCTGGGCCACAAAGGCGCCTCGTGTCACATTTCAGCACCTGCCACAGTGACAGCAGTGTTCCGTCGAGTAATTGCAACCACGGACCTCAGAGTACATCAAAAAACGTATTTGATCTCCCTTTTTAGGAATCGGTATAACACGAAAGTGAAACGTGTCCTTGCAGAGGTAGTTGAGCATTCATTGTGCATTGTTTTGCCACAAGGGCGAATGAATGAATGCTGCAGTCACGCGACGAACGGCAAGCAGCTCGAAACTAGCAGCGCGCTCTTCAAGCAGAAACCATGCACGAAATCGGAGCATACACAGGACGAGCGCGGTCAAGCAACTGTGACAGCTCGACACTTAAGGGCGCTGCCGAAACAGAAAGAAAGACGTACGAAACGAATGCACAAATATACACTTGGACGAGCGCGAACGGTCACAATACTTACTCCGTGTGTGAGCAGAGCGCTAAATTCGTAAACGCGCCCGTGGCAGTAAGCGAACTGACGTTTGTCCTTTCTTTAATTACTACAACTCCATACCAAACTTGCGAAGGAAGCACAATAGTTGTACAAAGTGCCCGAATCCCGAGATAAGCGCGTGCGCGAGCGAACCACTACGTTAGGTAACACCTATACGCACTTTGAACACGCCATGTGGAGGAACGCGAGCACATCGACGCGCGGGGTGGCACGGTACGACTACCTTTAGAGCGCACGCGCACAACTCGTGCTCGTCGTGCAATCTCGCTACTGATAAAAAACGCGCTGAAGAGCCGAGCTCCGAGGACCACCAGAGGTACATGGTTTATATAAATGGTTTGCCGGCAGCATCGTGGAGAAGGATCGTTTGGTGACTGAATGGTTAGCGTGGCGCGTCGAGTCACGCGAGGTCGCTGGTTCGAAGCCCACTGCTGAACTTTTCCTTCTCGTATGTTTTTCCATTCTAATCTGTTAGTAAACATTTTTACAACGTCGTATCCGTGAGGAAATACGTCACGTAGTTGTGGTGGACCCCGGCATAAAACACTTTCGTGTTAAAGCTGGCGGGCGTCTTCGTGCTCCTCCTTATCGCCACCAAGTGAGGCGGCTGCCTTTCTCCATCCCAACGGCCGCGGCAAAAGGCAACTTGTCGTTCGCAATAGGAACAGGTTATTTGGAGAAACTTGAGAGGTCCTTACCCTTCAATGGGCGTAATGCAAGAAGACTTATACCCCTGTCTCACGGGCACCCGCGAAGACCGTTTAATTCCCTTGTCCTTACGACAACGAAGATGCGGTCCATGTCACACGGCCACCCTTACGCAAACGAAGGTAAACGGAGCACTTCGCAAAGGACGTTCAACGATCTACCTTCGCAGCGAAACGAGGTACTCTCGTCCCCAGCAGTCTAGAGGTCAGAGAAAAATTTCGAGCACGAAGTGGCTGCAGTGAAAGAATAATACATTTTGGCAGTATTAAACATTTTTTTTGTAGTATTCAATCAGTACGCGTGTTTGTTTACATATATTTACGCCCGCCAGAGTTCACTTAATCTCATCACCAATGCTTTACACACCGTGCCTCGCGAGTCGAGCCGGCCGGTGCCAGCCGATCAACGTCATTACCAGCGCAATATCGTACCACTTCCTCACGTCGTCCACTGTGTCACTCATGGCTGAAGAACACAAAATGTGCGCTCACGAGGCAAGGAAGCATAAGAACTTTCGTACCGAGCATGTATACCGGCAAGAAAACAACTAAAAGCACAATGTGGCCAGCGTCACTAGCAGCATCACTACATTTAGCAAATGAGTTTTTATTTGAAATTATTTTAATGGTTTCTTAGTCGCATACTTACTTAATAGTGCTTTTTTGTAAAAACCGCACAAGTATTCACAAAAAAATCAAGAGAGATGAAATTAGAATGCTTTTCTGAAAATCAAACAGTGCCAGCTGAGCCCCCTCGCGGCAACTGTTGCAACCTTGCCATTGCCGTGTGCACTGCCACAACTCCTTCTCCATCGAACCCCCTAGGGGAGATTTACGTTGACGGTGTTCAACGGAGTTTGGTGATGGCCGTGTGATAGGGGTATCAGTCACTCCTTGTCAGTTCAGCGCTGCATTATCTCCTAGATCATCTAACAGGCTGCCTCGTTGAAACGTAAGAAGGGCTGTAAGGCTTGTATATTAATCTGCGAAAATCCATAATAGTTTGGTAACTTAATCATGGGAACGAGAAACGTGTTGCTTTTTTATTGCAAGCACTTCAGGTCAACGAATTACTCACGGGTTTTAGAATATTTAGAAAAAGTATTCTGAAAAATTTATATAAATATATGGGTCTGGTTCAAGTTAAGAGTAATATTACATGTACTTCAAATGCAAGCATGAGTTAACTTGAGCTAAAGACCACCGTCTGAATAATATCACGCACATTAACTAAACGAGTTCATTGAAAGAACAGACGGGTTTCTTGGTTGGTGTTTAGAGTTATTGTATAAGACGCCATATACGGTAACTCGAGCTAGGCAAGCTAGTCATCCTAGCTACACTAGCTGGGGTCGCTGCGGCACCTGGAGGAGCGGATAACAACCACTATGTTACTCTACGTGGCCTACGAGATTCACACGGGCGCCCTAACGCCAAGGTGCGGGCATGGTTTGTACGAGTGCCCCTACGTAAACACCTAAAGAAAGCAGAACAGCCATTTGGGATAGTCTGTAATGATTCATTCTGATTGCAAAATGTTGGGTGCTGTACAGAACAGGGACGAGAGAACAGAACGACAACACAGGAACACAGGCGCTCAGGGTTGCCGCTGGGCGGAATCGAAAAGGCTCCAGGAATCGAGCCTCGAGTGCGCCAGAAGCACTCCTTGTGGCGCTTCACGCGCGAACTTCCCTTTACGTAATCTCAGCGAAGCGCAAGACTAACCTGCCTCGGTTTCGGGTGCGTTCGTATTCTCACACTCCGCGCATTGTGCAGACACCCTCCACGTTCCAACGCTTATAAATCTCTTTAATCCTCCCGTGTGAAGGGGAGGCGCCACGTTGGGCACTGTGCCAGGGGATTCAAGCATCGGCCATCTCGAGTATGAGACATCGAACACTTTCGCCTTAGTATTCGAGTTTTGCACCTTTCGGAAGTTAAAATGACAAAGGATCGGATAACCACCGCACATCACGCGCGAAGCACCATTTGTCGGCATGCTCGTCTAGCGGAACACAACTTAACTCAAGGGGAACTTAATTACAAGGGGAGCTCGCGCTTGACACGGCACATGGACCACCCTTCCGGCGCACTCAGTGGGTTAGTTTCGGTTTCTCCCGTACGAAGGTCTGGAAATTTTACGATGGATCTTTGAAACTAGCCGTGATATTTTGAATTTTTAAAATCTTTGCCCACCATAATCTGTCATATAGAACAACTTCGCTATATAAACAACAACTCTAATGTTGATAATGAAAAAGTTTATTCACATACTTTTGTTAATTCATCCTTCCCACGGGATCTAAATAGTCGCTAAATCTTTCCGCCTCAGCATAGAAATCGGCTGCGAAGACGACGAGCGCCTACGTATTAAAGTTTTTGAAGGAAAATTGTGTATTGCTTAAAAATCACCCTTTATATATAAGGGAGCCGTCAATTTAGGGAGCGCCGAATGTTTTGAAGAGAAGCAGAAATTCTCCCGCACATTCACGCACGCACAAACACGCACATGTGAGCATGCTCAAATGCGCACTCGTGCGTACGCTTGCGTATAAATACATGCCGGCTACTGCCGTACCACTGTCTTGCCAGTTTGATCCCAACCCTGAATATTCGCTTTCTATGGTGCCTCGCCTTTGCGCACGTAGAGGAAGCACACTCTACATACAGCGACATAATTTTTCGCAGATACAGCCATCTTTGGCGAATGCTTCGCATAACATTGATACCCTAAGTACATGGTTATTTATTTAATGCTTTCTTTTTCTATATCTCCGTTTCAGGTAGATGAAAGAGCAGCGCTGCTCCGGCCTTCCCTGAAGACGCGCACAGGAAGAAGTGGCGCGCCTTCGCAGCGGCAATGAGACCCCGTCGCGCTGACAACGCCATAATCAATTTATACATGTAAATTATAGCAGTGATGTATGAGCTCGTCGACCTATATTCCAGCACATGCTGTGGTACAAGTTGCGTTTGTTTCGTCACGTTGATATAATAGCTTACATTCCTGCTTGGTCTACGGACTGCAGTATGTAATAAATAAAAAAAAATAATTACATTTGTCATCTAGTGGATGTCGTTATTTTCTGTTTTATCCTCAAAGCGTTTTTAAGAAATATTGCGTGTCCAAATACGGCTATTGCGTTATATCTAAAGAAGATCCTGGTTTGCCGTAGGGAAGAAATATGCATTAGATTAACGCCTTCTTTTTATTCGTTTTGATACAACAAGGTGATTTTTGTCTGTATTCAACTGGCCTTGGTATCAACGCAGTATACGTTTGCATCATCTTTTCATCTGGAACTTGTGCTAGATCATAAACGAGTGATGAAATGCTGGACAATGGTCCTCACAATAAGGGTATCCCGCTTGTTTTGCTGGCAAAATGATGTCAACTGTATTGAAAAGCCAAATCAATCCAGTCCCCGCCAATTGCAGTATATAGAAATAATTGATTATTCCCATGTTATAAATCATGACATCTAATAAGTTTATCGTAGCAAACCAGGTCAACCGCACGTGTTCAATAGGCCTCTTCCCCAAATGTAGAGCCTCGCGTGAGCAATGCGTCCAGGTTGCGGTAAATCGCACGTTGTCACGTGATTTTCCCGCTAGACCAACTGTATTCAATTGGTAATGTGTCTTTACTTCTCAGGAGGAGTATTGTGAGGCATATTTGTTCTTCAGGAATTGTATGTACTAACAGTTTCTATTCAGGTGCAATGATAAGAGCTTCGAGAGTTAGTCATATTGGATGATCGCTTATAACTACGCATTCAAATTTAGCATTTATGTGTGGCTATGTACCAAACCCTCTACAATAACTCTGCAGCATACTCTTGCAAGAGTCCCTCTGAATCGCACTTGTTTTAGAGGCCAGTCGATCGGCTAAGTGGCCGTTTTGTTATTCTTATTTTATTTGCGTTTCGGAAAAACATGCGAAGACCAACCCCGTCCTAACTATATACCACCAGCACTGCTTTCTAGCTGCGTTTGCTATGATTCAATAATGAACACACGCTTGTAAATTATGCGCGGTAGCAGCTGCAGACACCAGCAGCGTCCACAGCCATGCACTAGACCACACTAAAAAAGTATAGTTCGAACTGGACGTACTTACACGCAATAGTTTGAAGGCTTAGCGTGCCATTCTAAACACTGAAAACAGTTGCCGTATTCTGAGCTGGATATGTCGTCGCAATCAATTTCAGTGCGCGCTGACTGACGGGCTGCAGCGGTTCAGCTAACGCGGGTATTTTTTTTTTCCGAAATTGATGGTCCCAATATTTCTCACACCACTGTTTCACATAACTTAGACGTGTATATAGTTTATACAGTCGTGTGTTCAGAATACACGACTGAGCACCACTCCATGGTAGCATTAGGAATCGAACCCAGTACCTGCCATAATGGAAGCGGATGCCTCGAGTTCGGAGTATAGCTTGAATCACGGAAAAGCACGAGTGGTCCGTGAAAAGGTAGTTGCTGCTAGATTTTGTCACGGGTTTCTCGATACTGTTACTGCGCCCTAAGTGCGAGATCAAGTAGGAAGCGTACTAGGTAGTTTTTTTTTTAACAGAGAAACAAAAGTTGCCCAGTTGGCAGACTCTGGCATGGTATAGAGTAAGGGAGGAACAGGAGGGAAAGAAAAGGCTAGGGATGTTAACCAGTCTAGGAGGACTGTTATGCTACCCTTGAAAGGGGAAAGGGGAGGGGAAGTCGAGGAAGAGGTGGAGAAAGAGAGCATGCACACAAAGTCGCTCTCCACAGTGGCCATAGTACATTCAGTTCATAATCACCGGTGCGAGGATGTTGCCTTCAAGAAGTTGAGCACCACCTTCGTCGCCTTCCTGCGCAATGTCTTCTGAGGCCAGCATTCCAGAATCGTTTCCGTCTTAATCGGTCTCCACCTCCCCCCTGTGTGCGGGACTGGTGAAATAGGGCAAGGATGAGGGTATGGTGAGGGATTCGTTCTGAAGCTGAAGAAGAGAAAGAACTAGATACGTTCAAACAGGCCAACCCTCCATTCAGATTGCGTGCGAATACAAATAATGCTATACAACAAGCATGAGGTGAAAGATGCCTCGATTATCATCGTTCAGTGCAAAAGCTATCGTATGGAAGGACCAGGCCTGAGCTCATTTATAGCTCAACCTCATACGCTGTTAAATCTGATCAAGTTCGTTTATCTTTGTCACCGTGTTGTAGGCCTGGCGGCACTTATTTTAAGGCCTAATGTGCTACTTCAGAAATTAAAAACCACCGCGTTATTTCTAGCTTAAATATATTCGTATTATGAAGAAGATACTCGTTATTCAGTACTATATGAAAGACCAAAGTGCACGCAATAATAAGCACGCGTTAATAAGGAATACTTTTGGCGAATCCTCTATCGGTACGTCACTTCCCTTACTGAAAATGAGGACTAGCATGATCTCAGTGTTTTCAAACTATTAGCTTCCCCACATGTAAATTTGAAGTTGGTTCGGCTTCCAGGGCATACGCGCCTATTTCTGAATGAAAATTGCCGATGATCTAGCAGATACATATTTGAATCGCCCGGTTATTCATGTAATGCCTGCATCTAAATTTGTTATATGTGTTGCAATAGGAAGGAAAACGTTATTAAATTAATTTTCTGTGTGACCAATAACAGCCATATTTAAAATATCACTGTCTAAGTCCCCATTCTAATCAGTAAAAAATGTCAAACACGAGCAATCGAAGTCGCAATTGCGAGGCTACATTGTCAGACTTCATATTTAGATCACCTAGCGTGTTTGTGTGTGAGCCATCGTTCCCGGAAACTTACAACAACAACAACGACGACGACGACGACAACAACAACTACTACTACTACTTACTACTACTACTACTACAACTACTACTACTACTACTATCACTTTTTCGACGACTGCTACTACTAATACTATACTACTGCTACTGCTACTACTACTAATACTATACTACTACTACTGCTACTACTACTAGTATTACTACTACTATCACTTTTGCGACGACTGCTATTACTAATACTATACTAATACTACCTCAAGTATACTATTACTACAACTGTACTACTATTCCAATTCTACCATTACCACTACTACGACCACCAACAACTACCCTGCTACTACTACTAATACTACCACGACCCTAGGGCCACCACCACCACAGGTGTTCTTGCATGCGGCCCCCGAAAAATTGCTGCCGGCGTGGCCGGAAACCGAATGAGCATTCTCAAACTTCTAAGCTACAATCTGATGCCCCACCGCGGTGGTCTAGTGGCTAAGGTACTCGGCTGCTGACCCGCAGGTCGCGGGTTCGAATCCCGGCTGTAGCGGCTGCATTTCCGACGGAGGCAGAAATGTTGTGGGCCCGTGTTCTAAGATTTGGGCGCACGTTAAAGAACCCCAGGTGGTCTAAATTTCCGGAGCCCTCCACTACGGCGTCTCTCAAAATCATACAGTGGTTTTGGGACGTTAAACCCCACATATCAATCAATCAAATCAATCAATCTGAGCGAGATAGCTGCTGCGAATCTGCAAGAGTAAGCAGTGAAAGTTTTCCACGACGACGTAGACCTGCAGGCCCACTATAAGGCACATAGGAACTCCTTTCTTGCAACAGAATCGAAAGTTGGACAATTTGAATATTCACGGTAAAACTGTCATTAAGCGCACGAAGATACACACAAAAAAAAGAGGAAGTTGTGAGAAAGCACTTGTCATCTCTTTTTGTGTGTCTTCGTGCGCTCAAACTGCAGTTTTACCATCCACTCCTTTCTTATCAATTTTTTTTTGTTTCGTGTCGTGAAAAGGAAGCTTTCGCATGCTATCATCGTGGTTTTTGGCTGTCGTACGATACCAGTAAAACCACGCGCCTTACTTACCTGGAGACCTCTAAATTATATACAGCCGTGCAAGCTTTCGGTACTGCTACCTCCGTGGCACAAACGAACTTAGGGACATATATATACAGCTGTTTACACGAGAGAAAAAGAACTGTGAATCGATGAGTAGCAACAATACTATCCCCACGGCAAGACGAGTTATTAGAAGTGATCTTGAACTTTGTAGCTCTTTGTGTTTCGTAGATGATCATGATTGGTAGGTCACTAAGGGTGCTTTGAAGCATGAATACTCATAGTGCAACATGTTAGTAGGTACAGAAAATCAGCTGCTTTCCGAGAACGCGGCAACAGCGTGCACATCATGAGGACAGAGAAAAGGAACACGAGGCATAGACGCCGAAGTAAGAACCAAGGTTTTATTGTTTGGTCGCCGTGGCAAATATGCACAAGACATCAAAACAACAAAAGGGACAATGAAAGGAGTGAAACTCGATATGTGCGCTATCTATGCAGAAATTGAGCAAGAGCCACCCTTATCATGCCCCGATAGAAAATAACCTTTTATCTAGGAGGGTTGTGGACGGAATACTGACACAGCTGTCTTTCACGATCGCACTTTTTTCGGGCCTCATTTATTTCTCGGACATAATGGCCTGTTTTCAGTAGTAGGCATGAGTCCTAAGTTAAAAACTGTTTCAACATCACATTCGTTGCCGGTTGTCGAATGTTCATTAAAGGTAAATAATAAGGAATACGAGTCATTCAGGCGTTTCAACTAGTACTGGTACAGCATTCATTTATTAAATTTTTCTGACATTTTTTTTTTCAAGTGTGTGCCCGTGGTACTGGCAAGCATTCGTCACGTGAGGTATTCCCGTGCCGAACATCATATAAATCAAATCAAATCAAATCAATCACTTCAATGAACTAAATCTAATTGCTTCTACGGTTGCATTAGCAAATGACGCTTCACAGTGTGAAGAAAAAACCGGGGTCAGAATTTTTTTCTAC